TACACCAGTCACTCAGGAATGTCCATGGAGTACAGAATTGTTCCTGTGCATCCCCGGCCTCACTGTGTGCTACTTCCAAATTCCCACATTTCAAAACAGTTGCTCCACTGGGAAAGGCCTTTTATGACCTTTCTTCTTTCTTTAGATTTTTACAAAGGTCAGGAGAAACTTGATGAAATTTTTATGTGGTTTAAAAAGCTCAGCTTATTAAAGTTTAATAAGGAGGTGGCAACAGCTAGAGCCCAGTTTGAAGTGCTCTCATATTGTAACGGAGAAGCCAGAGCTATTAGTGATGAACAATGGCTCATTTCTAAGTTCTGTTGTTTTAAGCTATCGTGTACAGAAGCACACTTCCTGTCTACTGAAACCATTGAAAACAGGCTGTTTTGTAGAGAAGAAAATGTAAGTAGAGTTGTACGATACAGGTGCTTCGCGTGATTAACCTTGTGCACTTCTGCTAGGCCAAAAACATGAAACTCCTTTTGTGGTTATTCAGTTAGCTAATAGTGTTGAACTTTTCCATAAGCAAATATACGGTACATCCTGGTTCAGTGGTTCTCAACTGTTTTAGGGTCAAGGCACCCCTTGGTAGATTTGAGGCACCCCTCAGAAAATATCAGCTCTTAGTTTTCACTCTGTTTTTGATTACAAAAAGTACTAGAGCAATTCTTCTGGTGCAAAGAACTCAGACCACGGATCTACATTGTTTTTAACACTGTGGTTCTTATTTGAGATCTCTGGGTTTATCTTGTGAATTGTATTTACACACCTAACAGTGGTAAACCCCCAGCACCCTTGAAAGGATCTCAAGGCATCCCACATCACCTGGTTGAGAATCACTGTCCTAGTTGCTCAAAAAAGTGTGTATGATGCTGGCCTGTCTAAATATTTATTTACACTTAAATTTTGTACCAGTGTAAGTTTGGTAATGAAAATGAATAGCATACATTAAATCATATTTGTGCACCCTCATATCCTGGTTTCAAACTGAGACCATTAATGCAATATTAGTGACATGGGCTTTTGTACTAATGCAAATTCCTGATATAGATGCACATTAACCTTGACATGATCATGTAACTATTAAATAGAATTCAAAGGTAATGAAGTGTGTTAACAAATGTTAATGCAGTCAACTGTATCTTGAATTTTGTTAGTGTTTGGAAGAGCTGATATTTAAGTATGAATGATAACACTTGGTGCAAGTGTATAGGTGCATGTAATACAAACAGTATTGATAAATCACCTGCAAAAAGCCTGTGGTGTTAGGTTATTTTGGCTTAAATGTCAAGCACTCGGGTGTCAGGAAATGCCAAGTTTGATTCCTGTCACACCCCTACTTCTACCTATTTTTGCCCCCCTCACATGCACTGAATTCATGATAGTGGATAGTGTAGAAAAAAATAGTCTGCAGCAGTGTAATTGAAGATGTCACGATGCATGATTTTCTTTGTCTTCAACCTAAGTCCTTTCAAGAACTGTAGTAATAAAAATAATAAAATTGCTCTGCCCTTCTGTTTGAGTCATCAGCTAGGTTTTGGACTCTTGTATCTATAGCTCGCTCTACCTAGTTGAAACCAATAAAGTCCTTGGTTATGGGGGTAGGTTCTTTGTGGACCAGTCGGCCACGGGAGGAAAGATGGTACATTTTGCAAATAGGCTTTAAAGCTATTTGCTCACAGCGGCATAGCATTGTCAAGATTCAGGACTTTGGGTTTCAGTTCCAGGGGCTGGAGAGATCGTGCTGTCCTGATGAAACCCCTTCTGTTCTTTTAGGCCAACTTTGTCAGTCTACCTTGCTCCTGCTTGCCACATCCTGGGTCTCTCCTCACTTCCTACTGCCCTCTTCCTCTTGCCCCCCACCATTTCTCATCCTCCCATTTCAAGCAGGTTGTGTCTTCCTCTTTGCTCTGTAGACACCAGCGGGGGAAGATTTACCAAATACCTGCTCTATTACCAAGTGTGGCCATCAAGTCCAGCTCAAATCATATCTGCCTCTAGACTGGAACCTACCCAATGCTGTTTGAAACTCCAGAGAATTTAGATACCAATCTTAATATATTTTAATTTTAATTTTATTTTATTTATTTATTTTTTAAAAGCAGGGTTGCTTGGTGTATTTGTTTTCCCCAGAAGCTATAACAGCCAGATTTGGGTGGGTTCTCATAGGGAAGCATCCTGACACCAGGGTAACTTCTGCCAGGTTTCAGATTCCTTCTTTATAGCATGAAGGTCTTGGAACTCTTCAGTGAAACAGTTGTAGGAGTCTGTTCCTAATGTGGAGAAGATGTATTTTTTTTCCCCAACGTTCTCAGAAACAGCTAAATGATATTAGCTGAAAAAGGGAGACCCTGGCATGGAAGGATTCAGCCCAAACTGTTAATTTGGCAGTTATCTGCAAACTGAAAACAGTATCTTTATTGTCAGAAGTGAATGAGTTGACCTTAATCATAGGTGATGGTGCCAGCTCCACCTACAATCGATATACTCCAAAGGATTGAAAAGCACTTTAACAGCTAAATCCTCTGCATATTTGTATTTCAGTTTCCATTGCCCATAACATTCACGTCCTGTTCTAAGAGGCATAGCGATTCAGGCATTAACTGAAGGTGTGGTTGCAGTTTAGTGGAGGGATACCCGATATCTGTAATTATGTGCAAGTGCTTTCCTTCTGTACAGACATTTCTTCAATGAAAGCTTTATCTGAATACATTGTGAGAACAGCCACTTAATTTAACACTTGTATGGAAAAACTATTCCTTTATTTCTAGGACAGCATTTTTTATTTATAAGCCCCTTCCTTCAATATTAAACCATAATTAAACTTCTCACCTGATTTAAATTTAACAGCTTTCACTAGTTTTGCATGTCCTGCAGACTGTTAGGCTCTACAAAATCTTAAAATATACACTTTATACTGAAATTGTAGAGATGCTTGAAGGTCAAGAATGTATTGCACTGCACAATTTGTGGAAAGCCCGTGTGGCACCTGCCTTGCTTCGGCATGCACAGTTGCTTGCATTTGTGAATACCAAATTTGGGGAGTGTTTTGACTAATTTATCTCAGATCATAAAAAAAACCAAACCATTATTCGTAAATGTAGTGTCCCTGAGCTGGTCCACTAGCACAGGCTGTTCTGTTGGCAGCTCAGGCTGGTGTATCAGCCATATGCCATCCCCAGTGACAACTCAGGCCAGGTGAGAGCAAGAGAAGGGCTTCAGTGTTGTCTTCTAGTTACCCGGACTGCTGGCATGACCCATAGGCAGTGTGAAATGCACATAAGGCTATAACAGTGTAAAAACATTCTGCCAGCACGACTTAGCTGTTCAGTGGAAAAGGGTAAAGATGTTTGCTTAGTGATTGACATACCTGTGCTGGCAAAAGCCCAGAGTATAGGTACATTTATACAGCTAAAACTGCTGACTTGGTGCAAGTGATTTTGCATGGAGCCAGGCTATGAGCAGCTAGCAGTGCATGCTGGCAAAAATGCAGTTCTGTCAGTGTAAGCTGTGTCCACACTGAGAGCTGTGCTGGCAAAGCACTTCTAACAGAAAAGAGGCTGCACTAACTTTAAACTGGGAACCAAGAAGGCCCCAGTCAAGTCCAGACGTTGGGAGGTCTAGATGCACCTTAAACTACATTGCCCCCCACTGTCTTCCCCCCTATCCCCAGCTGTGCCGCCTGGAAGGTGCGGTAGTGTTTGGGCCCTTATGTTTGGCTCCCAAAACATAGACCTTTGTGCACGTTCAGAATAATGTGGCTTTGCCGATGATTGTTGTGTGTAAACACGTTTGTGGTGGCAAAATAGAGGCCTTTTGCTTTAAACATAAGGAGCCCTATTCATTTTGGTTGTCCAGAAACCCATAAAAAATGTTGTAGAAAAAGCCAAAGCCTTGTAAAGCAGATATTGTTTTTTCAAGCTTGTGAAGGGTTGGAGATAAACTAATCCATTTTACTCAGTGTGTCCTTTCACAGACCTATAGTGACTTATATCATGTGCGGTTTGCATCTACTCAGGAGAGTCAAAGAATGAAGAAGGTTCAAAAACCAGCATTTTTCTTGGGATGAAAGGGGTGAAGGTGGAACATTTTTGCAATAATTGTATGTGATATGACTATAGGAGTTGGAAATGATTGGGGGGGGGGAGTCCTGATCAGTGTAAACTTAATCCTGTTTCTCCGGGGCATTCTGGTTATTGAAACAAGGAAACATGAGCTTTGCTTAGCTCAAAGTGACCTGTCCTTGGAATCCCTTGAACCAGCTGGCAAATAGCCATTCTTAATTGGCTCCGAACAGGGCATTGCAATTAGGATCAGCACTTTAAGCATAGAAATGGCTGCTTCCAAGCAACGCTGCCCATTAGAGTGGCTTGACCCTTTGCAGCCCAATAGAGTTTAGTTTTGGAATCGGCATTCATTTGAGCTTTATTTAATCTGTATTGACTGATTTAGATTTCATGGTCCTTAAATTGTTTCCCCATGTATAGATAATGGCAGTTTCAGGTTGTATTGAGATGGGGGGGAAAAAATAGCAATGAACCTTTTAGGGTAGATTTGCCCACTTCTGGGGAAAAACAGAACTAGGCAGTGTATGGAGAGAAAAAGGAAGGCTGTTATGGCTCACTGAATAAAAAGCGATTAGAGCAGAATACAATAGAAATTAGTGAAAGGTCATGTTTCTATTCCTATCCTGTGTTTTTAATAGCCCTGTTGAAGTGTGCGCGGGGGGGTGGTGAGTTTTGTTTTTAAGCCATGGCTACAACAGTCTGAGACTCCTGATTACCCTGACTGTACCCACGTGGTCTGTACTTGGATGTTCTCTCTGGATAGATTTGCCAGCACCTGTGTCTTTACTGTACCCTCTACAATTTGTGCACTGGCCTAGCTGTAGCAGACAGACATTGCAGTGCTGATAGTTAGCCTAAATAAGTCCTCTAAAGGAAAAAAATAGCTTGATTCTCAGCACTAATTCCTGTGTTCTTTCTATAACTTTTTAATAGCGTCGCCTTGGAGATGCCGCCAAGAAAGCCATCGGCAAACTGGCAACCAGGACAGTAAAGAAGGGCGATAAGGTACAGTAATGAGACTTCTCACAGTAAACTTGAGCTTTGTATTTCACTCTGGCAAGAAAAACAATTTACTGTTTCTTCCTCCCTTTCAACTGTTAGTGTGTGGCTTGCTGGAGAGGTCACCCTCCGTAATATTTACTGTCTACAGTATGCACAAAAGCTCTAGGTGACTTCTGCTTCCCCAGAGGAGAAGTTTTCTTGCCTGTAAACTTGGTGAGCTCTCCCTGGCAACTTGAATGGCGGTTGCTTTTCTGTGCTAGCTGGCCCTGATGGTTTTGCAGGCAGGAGTACAGAAAGCGTCATGCAAGAACCCTATTTAACCATCATGACATTTTCTTTACTATGCTCTGTATAAATTATCAGTACGAAAGAAAAGGCAGGGTTAAAATCAGTTATGCGAGTCGCAGTAAACTTGCAATTGCATGTATGTTATGCAAAGTGGAAGAAGGCTTAGGGAGGAAGATGTCTTTTTTTATATACAAGTGATTTCTCAACAGTCATGTGTTCTTGGAGTGACACAAGTTGAATTGCATGCTAGCTTTTACTTAAAGGATGCTTGTAGCTGTTACAAAATTAAACATTTTAATCGTCAGGCAGTCCGTAATCTTCACCTCCATATCCTCTCCTTGGATTCACAATAAGGTTATTTTCTTTGCCACTTCCATCTGGAACTGTGGGAATTGTGGTTGGGTATCGCAGAATAATTGATGCACTGTAAATTATAAATCTGTAGGTATTCTTCAGGTTTTTGGTTTTACCAGAGGTTTGCTTAATAGCCTCGTTTACTGTCCCTTTGCATTTTGCATCATGCATAGACCTGACTTTATTTAAAGGGTATTAAAAAGCAAGCAGTTTCTCTTTGGCCTTTTAAGCCTGCCTAAGTCTCATCTTTCCTACCAATACCATCTCTAACGGGAGAAGCTCTCTGAATTTGTGCTTGCCTGAAGAGAAATCTGAGGAAGATGTTTTTCCCAAGCCTGTGTTCTTTTCCTCCCCTCCTCCCCCGTGCCTTTTGGCTATAAGAACTTTCTGCAATAGATCTTTGCCTACGTGCATATATTTAGAACTTAATACAGAGAGGAAAGATGCTGTCTTCTTGCAAGACTGTTACGTGATATGGAGGTTGCAGTACAGGCAGCAGGAGGCGTATATGTAGTTGAAAGGAATACAGGAATAAATCTGTCATTCATCAGTGCAGCCCATCAGGGTTCTCTGCATGAAATATTGACTGCCTGTTTCCGACAGCGGAGTTGCTAATTTTGTCTTGCTGTGGTTTTTGATGTCCTTGTCTCAGTACTTTGCTGGTGTTGAAAAGAACTGTCTGAATTTGGGCTGGGAGAAAGCACAGTCTGTGTGTGTAGCACAAAGGTTTTAATTGTATACCAACAATGCCATGGTTATGCCTACGTGACATCTGTCTTTCTCCAAAGGAAAGCTTAAAATAAGTGAAATTCTTTCTGTCAATGTAGAAACAGTAATTGGAGTGTAATCTTTGTAGCAAAATACTGCAGAGCCAGCAAGCATCCTGACCTGAATCCCTCTCTGCTTAAGAAGGGCATGAGTAATTTTGAGGCTGTGGAGAGGGTTTGAAGAATGAGACCACGCTGGACTTTTTGAAGCATGGAATGATGGCAGTTATCTCTTATTACAAGAGGGGATGAAATAATATATTTTAGTATTATACAAAAAAAAAAATGTTTTATAAGCCATAGACTAGATCATAAATTTAACACCCTTGAAAATTACTACCTCCTTGAGTCAATGTGAAGAGATTGTTTGTACAAAATGATGGTTACAGCTGTCTTGTCTTCCTCTAACTTAAATGTCAGATGCATGTAAACAGTAGTTTTAAATGAGTGGGTGACTTTGATATGCAGGTAAAACATGTGGGTTTTGGGGTGGGAGGGGAAATGTGGTAGGATTTAATAACCTGTGTCACTTTCTGTATCTTCCTCTTAATAGTCGTCTTGCATATCTAGTGCTCCGTGGGCTAGCGGGATTCTTCGGTTGCAAAGTGCCTACATTGCTTTTAATAGTCATAACTTTTGACTTTAGTTTTCATGCTATTCATTTTAGGAAACAGACCCGGACTTTGATCATTGTGCTGTCTGCATTGAGAGTTACAAGCAGAACGATGTTGTCCGCATTCTGCCATGCAAGTAAGCTAGCATTTTCTTTTCCTTGGAAAAGGATTTATTCTTCATAAATGTTTGCACTGTGTTTTGGGGTTTTTTTAAGACCCCTTTGTTTTATTTTATGTACCACATTCTCTTTTTTTCCAATACTTATATACTAGTGTAGGTGTGTGTAACGCTGTAATGCTTGAGACTGGGAGTACACGGTCTCAAATGCAATAGAAAGACTTGCAGGTGATAGCTGGCACAGTTATTGACAATGGAGATCAGGCAAAAGAGGTTTCTGAGAAATAACAGATCGGAAAGCTTTGAATGGTATGAAAGATGCAACCTAGAGTGAGAGAATAAGACGAAAGGAGCTTTAATGACAGAAGAATGGGCAGACCCAGTATCTTGGTGAATGATAGCAAACTGAGGCACAGATGCAGAATTTATACAGTGGCTGCTGCAACCTGATGTTTTGCTGTTTCAGCAACTCCAGCTCGGTCAAGCATTCCCCCAGGTCCTAGGAATGCTGTCACTCCAGCATCACTGCCACCTGCATGTTCACAAGATATCTCCCCACCACTGTCATCGCGTTCCCTTGCAATCTTGCTGGGTGGGAGCAATAGATTAGAGATGCTGTCCTGGCACACTTGAAGTGCAACAACCACTTCCACTCCTGTGTGCCCTTCCTAAACACCCCCGAGCCCCCCAGAGATACTATTTTCTTTTCCTTCCTCCTAATTATTTCCACTCTTGAACTGATCAATGACATTACTCGTCTCTGATAGATTGCTGGTTTAACTGCTTTTACACTTGCTGGGTATTGGTGGGGAATTTAATCATTTGACTGTTGCTAAGGATATTTCTTCCTTTTGTTCTGAAACACATTTTTATCCTCCTCCTTCCTCCCCTTTTCCACCAACAGGAAAAAATATAAATTACTATGCATATGTGCAGACAAGATGCAATAACCTGCCCTATGCTAAGTATATAAATAGCTTTTTGCATGATACTCTAGAAACAAGTAAGTCACGGTGTTGAAATCGGGCATCAGTCCCATGTCCCTGAGGGCCATATAGCAACTCATTATCAGTCTTCTAAATCCTCCTGCAAGCTGTCCTAGATAGGTGGAAGATTTTTCCTCTAATGCGTAATGAATTTCTATTATAAGATATTAAAAGGACAGTGTGAAATTAGTTTGTATATCATACAGTAAAAAAATGTTACACACTAGGTTTGTTTCTGTTAGCACCTTAGCTTACTGAAGTTGGAAGTGGAATTCAATTTACTTCTATCTAAATTCACTGACTTGTTGGACAGTGAAAATGAATGACACCTGTTTCATATTTAGGTTCAATGCTGCAGTGCCTCTGTAGCAAACCCTACGGAGAGATGTCTGTTTAGAAGCTATTTCCTTTGAAATGCAGTGTTTAGAAATGCATAGAACAGTTGGTCCTGGCCTTAGATTTTTATAAAGGCTTATTTTTTAAGCATTGAACTTTGTAGTCCAAATTTAAGTTTTTGGGATTTTTTTTTAAAAACATGCTTTTCCCTTTTCTTGTGCAAAGACACTTTGTCCCACTTCTCCTTATAAACATTGTAAGGCTAATTATTTGCTTCTCTGCGAATTCAAGATGTCATTCAGTTATGTACTGTTGTGCAACTGAAATGCTTATTGCTGGTCTAGTTTAAGAAAAGGCTGTCCAGAAATTCCAGACTTGTCTTCTCCTCAAGACTTTTCCTTGCAGTTTTGAGTTGATTTGCATGTGTGTATGCACACAAATCATTGTACTCAAAAGTTGGTGTTCAAACTGCTTTTGGGTATAATTGAGCTTAGGGCACTCCAAGGTAAAGATTGTGATGAGTACAAAGTTTTTTTGGCTTGATTGTGTATCAGTTTGCAGTAATTAGATTGTGGCTAATACTTAGAACCAAATGGCGTAATATGATCTAGCCACAAAATGTGTTCTCTTAATGCATTGTAGAAGTAGAGATTTCATTTGAGGTGCGCATTTCAGGGAGTTGTTTCTAATGTGTGTTACCAAGCCAGCAGGCTTTAATGCGTAGAATAAAAGGGTGTCTTTAAAGGAACAGAGTAAACCACATGCTGAGAAGGAATTGTTTAAAAATTGGATTCATAATACAGTT